TTTTTAGCTTACTTTCATGTAATTAGATTAAATTCAGTTCATTTATAAAGCACCTAATCAGAGCATATATCATGTCAAGAAACTTTACAGACAATTCAGTCAGATAGGAAGAAACATCAATGAAGGAAAAGAAGCTGATTGTATCAGGTCATTGATTTACGGGACTCATGCATGCATGTAGCGACAGCGGAGAGGAAAAACTTCCTTTTAACAGGAGAAAACCTTCAGCAGAACCTGAACAAGGCTTAGTTTGAATGGAGTCAGAGGCAGGCATACAGAAAGAACAAAGAACTGATTTATAAATACTTCATTTGTAAGTAAAGTCGCTCTATAGATGGTTCTGTCTAGAAAAGAATCAACTAGCAGAGCAGTTCTGAGCCAGTTTTCCTTTTAACGGTATGAAAGAGCACATCAAGTTAGCCGCAGCAAAAGTTTAGCCTATAGCTAAGTCTAGTATAGGAATAAATACAAAAAAACAGGCCCAATTGTATCATCTGAAAAAAAATGCAACCGCTTTTGGCATTTACTTAATCATTTTTAGTTACTTTAACACAATTGTTTTATGTCCTTCCCTGCTAACAATTGTGTTAAAGTAACTAAATATGATTAAGTAAATGCCAAAACGGTTCCAAGATGGAGTCAAAGCCAAACAAGAACAGAGCCAATGAAGAAACTACTGCTATGAAAAGGAAAAGCAGAGAGAACATAAAGTTAGACACTGAACTAAGGGGATATCCCTTTGGTTCACTGCTCAGCTCACCAGTCAGGCTGTTTGGGTCCTGCTCCTTGTTTAAGTGCCCTACTACTTTCCCTGTGTGTCTCTAGGTGCAGAGTCTGAAGGACGGAGGTGACGTCTCTCTCCCAGAGTCTCCACCCGTCTCCCTGCAGCAGGACGGGGAGCTGCGCTGGGCGGCTGACCTCCTCTGCTCCTCTGATGAGACACTGACGGAGCTAAGTGAGAGCTGGACCCGACCACCCGATGTTCTGCTGGAGGTTGTTGCTCTGACCGTGCTGGGAGTCCACATCCTGCAGCACAGAGAGTGAAGCTGGTGCTGCTGGTGGAGGGTTTCAAGAAAAGAAATATTCTTAATGACTAATCCATTTCTTTATGGTTCTCAAAAATAAAAAATAAAAACTTATTCTGGAGAAGTTGCATAAATTTACAAAACTTCATGTGATTCAAACTTTTACTGATCTCTTCATAGTAAAATGTAAATAAAAACAGATCTCTAATGCTTCCATGGTTGTTTGGTGAATTCTCTTCTGACAGAAGCTCTTGATGCCCTACTGGTTAAAAAAGGACAGACCAAAGTCTTCCAGTGGGCTGAGTCTAATTCTTAATTTAAATGCTCTTTGATTGGCAATGCCGGACCCCTGGCAGCTGTTTAAGGGAGCTGGCACTTTCAGGAACCATAGGATGTCCAGGTGGTTCTGACCTCCTTCATGTTCAGATCATGGCGGCAGGTCTGTGGCTCAGCACATCTCCTATTGTTTGTACAATCTGAATTTTACACATATAGATATACTGCACTCACAGCTGCATATTTCTCTCTTTCTCCATATAGGCTAATGATCCTTCACGCTCTCCATAGTTCTCCTGTGGCGCGAGCACAGGGCGGCTGTTACGCGCCTTTAGCGAGCATGCGCGTTTCCTGTCGCTTGCGCGGTGAATCGTGCCGCCTGCGCTGTGCGGAGATGCAGGGGAAACGCTGCTCGACGTAACACCAGTGTTTCCATCTGGAAAACGCTGTTTTGCTGCTGGAGTCCTCCTCACTCTCCATCCTCCCCTCTCTCATGACGCGCGCACGACTCCTATCATGAAAAAAGGTTCATTGTGCGACCTGAGTAACGTGCAGTAACGGGGTGTCGGCAATTGTAACTGCGTTATAGTTACAGTAACAGTAATAATTTTGATTACTCGTTACTAAAAAAGGTAGCGGCGTTAGTAACGCCGTTACTTTCAGCGCCGTTACTCCCATCACTGTGGAAGACTCCTCGTTATGCGGCCGACACTGGTCCTTCTTTTTGCCTGTTTTGAAGGACAGGTCCGCTGTATCCTCCGTAGCCTTGGGTATCCCATGATTCATTGAGCTTTTCCAACTATCAGCTGCTCCGTGCTCAGAGGAAAATGGTAAATGGCGCCAAACAGTGGTGAATATTGGAAGTGCAGTTTATTATAATACAAGTATGTGAATAGTTCCGTCTAAAATGAATTTTCATTCATTTCAGATGGAAAATCTCTATGGATAAACTTTACATGCACAAGTTCACCCTCACAAACCACTACAGGTGCTTGGTTCCAGGTACTCAGATATTCACTTCCAAACAGAAACCCCACATTCATATCTTCAGGTAACACAGAGTACATGTCAGACT